AAGGCCTCTAAATCACAGAAGGGTTAATAGACACTTCTAATAAGAGAACAAAATGCTAGGCTTTCTGGCTTAATTAAGCCAGTGCTCTTTTCACTTATATTTCATTCCCATGTTTAAGCAGCTCAGAGTTTATTAACCATAATAACTTTTCTTGGAGTTTTACACAATATTCATCAGTACTTGAGTCTGAATGAATGAAAAAGCACTCAAATAACAATTATGTGGGAGGTGCCGTACGAGGGATATAAATACAAAAGTGGGAAGATCCTTGCCCTCAAGGACCTGACAGTTTTAATAGGGGAGACAGCTCCCATAGGGAGGTTGGTAAGGAAAATGAGTTATCAAGGTGGCCCCAGGGATGTTGGTAAGTGGACTAGAGGGTTATCACTCCCTTTCCAGAAGCAACAGTAGCACTGATCTGATTACTATTACCTCAGCAAGAGGTGGAAAGTAGGGGAGGGAGTTAAAATGGGATGGCAAGATGTCCCAAGAGGTTCAGGGTAGATAGATGTGAAACACTGCTGGGGCCTGCAAATAAACACAGATGAGTTTACACTCACTTGCCAAATAAGCTCAGCCCCAGGAAGGAATTTAACTTATCTTTATTAACATTTATAAATGGCAGTTATTATTACCATTCCATCTTTGTTTTGGAAATTGGGTGGAATCCAACTCTATCGAGGTTGAAGCTACTGGAGGATTCTGAAAAAGTCTGACACAGAGTAGAGTAGAATCAAAAAAGCAGGACGAAGTTAAGGAGATTATTCAATCTAGCAGGTAAACGTCTGCCACCAGGACAGATGGTTGTCTATTTTCCTAGCTGATAAATGACATAGCAACTAGAAATTTCCAATGATTATTTTTCAACAGGGGTCAGCTGATCAGTAGCAGCAATCAAATTAAGTTGCATGGTGATTTAACATCTAAGAGGCTTTGTAAATAATAAGCAAGCATCAGGAGGAGTTTATTTAGCAACGATACACACCCTTAAAGCTGTGCAGAACAGGGGAGACTTCAACTCAAGATCGTTAAGCCAGGAAGACACTTCCTGGTTCTGTTCCCACAACATTCATCCCTGACAACCTCTCCTAGGTATTCCTGTATACCTCATAATTTGTCTGCTCACCTGAAATCTTCCTCATGCTAATCCATGCTCCATTTAACTGCCAAAGAAACTCCTCTGTTTTGGATTTAAAGTCCTTCACAATCTGATTTGAATCTATAGTTCTAAATTATGGTTACTCTCTCTTACCAAATCTTGGTCTAATCAAACTGCTATTTCTGCAGTTCCTCACATATGACATGGCATTGCCTATTGCTGTGACTTTGTGCTGGCTGTTTCTATGCCAGGAATGCATTCCTTCCTCACTTCTGCATCTTAAAGAGTTTTTAGCTTCCTTTGCTTTCTACCTCCTAAATGAAGCTTTTCCTGACCCCTAGTTGTCGATGCTTCCTCCTCCTTATATACTTTTTGCATATTTAGATGTGTACCGGTTGTTTGCTCAAAGGTAAGCTCCTTAATGGCAGGGACTCCTAATTTTGTATTTATATCTCCAGCACCTAGCAGTGCTTGACACTTAATAAATGCTAATTCATTCATTCATTCTTTCCTTTCATAGCCAAACTCCTAGAAACAGCTGTCTATACTCACTGTTTCTACTTCTTTATCCCTCATTCACTTCTCACCCCCTTGCAATCTAATTTCTGACTATACTACTAGAATCAAACTGGTTTCTCCAAGTTTGCCAAGGAAATCTTAATTGATGAATCTCATGTGTGCTTTTCTCAGTGCTCATTCTACTGGATTTCTCTACAGCCACACTACTGACTATGTCCTCCTTGATATCTTGGCTTCCAGGATACCACTTTCTCCTGGTTTTCTCCCAATCTACCTGACCATTTCTTTCTCAGTTTTGCTTCCTGATTCATTCCTCGTTTCCTACTCCTTCACTGTGGTGCTTCTCAAAGTTCTGTCTTAGGATCTTTTTCTTCTCTCTTGAATTAATCACTTTACATCGATGTCTCCCAAATCTATACAGAGTGTCCCAAAAGTTCTAGGGCAGTCCTCCCTTCAAACAACCAGCCCCTTCTCCAAACTTTCTGAGGAAAGTATCTTTTCAATCCCCTAGCTTTGCAACTTTTTTCACCCTCAATTTGTTCCCGTCACATTCAATCAGTCACCAGAACTTAATGATCCTACTTCCACATCTCTCAAATTCAACCTCTATTCCTATTCACTCATCCAACACGTAAATTCAGGGCCCTATTACCCTTCACTGGGACTACTGTAACAGCCAGTTAATTGGTTGCCCTTGCCTGATGCCAAAATAAACTTCTTAAATACAAGTTGACCATGTCAGTCCCCTTCTCAAATAGCTCAGTGTATCCTTACTGCTTCTAGGATAAAATACAAGCTTCTCCTTTAAAGGCTGGCATTTAAAACTCTTCACTACCTGGCTCCAGCCTACTTTTTTTTTTAATTAATTTCATATTACTCTTTCCTTCATGTAATCCATGTTCCAACCAAAGAACTTGCTGTTCTCCCAAACTTGGCATCCTCTGTGTTCTCCAAGCATTTATATAGGACTCGTACTTCCCTCTCCTACTCATGTCTAAGAATCCTTAGCTTCCTTTAAGGCTCAGCTCTGATGCACCTCCTCCAGGAAGTTTTTCCTGATCACCCTAGTTAGCGCTTTCTCTTTCATCAAATTACCTTCTATTTACTTACATCTGTTTTACACATTTCATTTCCAAGTAGAATGTAAGCTCTTTGAGGGAGAGAAACATTTTTCATTTTTGTTTTTGTATCCTAGAGGCTAGCACAGTGTCTCACACAAAACAAGAACTTACTATCCACTAAACTTAACTACATTTCAAAAAGGCTGAATTTAGAAATAGAGCTGGGCCTGGAGCAAGAGCACAATCCTAAAGTATTGCCCCAGCTCTCTGACTTATTCACTATCTAACCTTAGGCAAGTCAATCAATTTCTTTGAGACTCAGTTTGAACCCCCAAAAGGAAAAGACCATGTCTTTGGGATCTGGACCCCAAAAAGGAAAAGCCCTGGACTTTCCCACATGGTCAGGCCTCTGGCCTGAGACTATAATCCACTCATCTGGCCTTTCATTGTGGCTGTGCCCAATCTCCCACTTCTGTTACCTCAGACCCACCCAGCCCTTCATTGTCTATTACCTACCCATTCTTGATACCATCTAGACCCCATTCTCCCTTGGCCACTCGATTTAGGTCCCTGGTGTTCACCCAATCCTTCTGTCACCTCACAGTCACTCCAGCCTATTGGCCACTCCAATCAAGATGCACCCTAGACTCCTCCTCCGGTCACCCCAAACTACATGGCCACTCCTAGATCCCTCCCATGGTCTTTCTGTATATAAGATCCATTAAGATGCTCATATTCTTAAAATCTGGACAATGGATCAGATTCTTAAAATCTAGTCAACAGTGCAGACCCATTAGGAATCTTGCTCACCCCAATCAGTATTCTAATAAACCTTGTCACTGGCAGAAAGGATTGGGTAAAATTTATTCTGGCAGGACCCACGTGTTGCTATTTCAGGGTCCCAGCACCCCTAAACCTCAACAAGTTTTCTAATCTGTAAAAGAGAGAAAATAATACTTATGCTACCTGTCATTTAGGATTTCTGTGAGAATTCTAACCCTAACCCTAACCCTAATTTTACAGTGATAAAGTATTATATAAACTACTGTGATTGGAACCTGAGTTTGTCATGGCTATAACTTTCATCAGAAAAGATAAAAGGCATGGAAGAGACAGAAAGGATTAATATAAATTTTATGAATCCAAGACACAATTGAACTTAATGACCACAGGAGAAGGAGTCAAGGTCATATGAAGCCCACAGATAGTACATCACGTACAGCATGGGTATGGTCAGCCATTCTCATTTGGATGAATTCTACTTCCCTTTTTCCCAATCAAAAGCCTAACACAGAAGATCTTGGGATACTAAAATGAAAAGAACAAAGGCTAAGCTTTTCAATGGAGGAGGTGCACCCACCCCCTTTTTGGTTTTTTAAACAAAGATTCTAGTCTTCCTATTGTTACTTAGGAGCAATACAAACTAGTGAGGGAGGAACTAGGTATTTTCTCACAAACACTGAAAAAAAACCAAACAACTTGTCTCCCACAAAGGAAAAAGGAATGAATTAGTTTGAAACTGGCTGGATGCAGGCTAGCCCTTTTTGAAGTGGTTTACATTTTATTTGAGGACTGCTACCCAATCTCTTAATTTAAAGAGGTTATTAAATTGTGTTTGGGGATAGAAAATCAGGCCAGGATTTCTAATCTGCTAACTCTTCATACACAATAAGTATTAGGTTCTGAAACTTAGTTTTAATGAACTTAGAGCTTTTTCTGACATTCTAAGTAGTCTTATGGATCAGGCTTTTCCCTTCTATGATTTATTTCCAGAGACTACAACATTAAATAGTCTTTCTGTACCTTTAATCTCATATTATATTCCACTGATTATGCCAGAAGCCTGGTACATAGAACTTCTTTGGGACAGCCTCCAAAAAAGCCCAGTTTAAATGTGTATTATCTACCCAGAGCTTAGGAATAATTCACTTGAGTTCAATAATAACATCAGTAAGAAAACATTACATTACCATAAGAAAACAAGCTCAGCTCTGGGATACAGAAAGCCTACAGTGGGGAAATTTAACAATCAGGCTTATCTGATACTTAGACATGAAACACATCACATATTTCTTACCTGGATGTTGATTAAAAATCAGCCAAATAAATATTTGAGTTCAACAGAAGGAAAAGTGCAAAGACAATAAATATGTGGTTGTTACTAGCTGATCTCATTGGCCAAGAAGACTACAGTTCTACTATTCAAGGAGGGCTAGTTCTTTGTATGATAAATGACTGTCTAGTCTGCCCTTGCAGTAATAGCAGCTGTTAAGAGAACACCTGGGAATGGTGTCCAGTGAATGAAGAAAGACAATGCTTACCTGAGAGTACCATTCTCCCCTTTGTCCAGACTGGTAAACCGGCTGTAGAGACGGGTGATTTGACTGTGGGAAACTAAAGAATACAAAAGTAGATCCAGATTAATATGGCAGGGGTCTTCCCCTCCACAAAGTTAAACACAAAACTAAAATACCATGTTGCATAACATTTTAGAACCAAGTTAACTCTTTCTTCCTGATTCCATCATTATATAATTACAAACTACGTGCCTCATTTTCCTTTTAGGGAGCCTTACATTTAATTTGCCACTATATGGCCAAATAAGTTAATAACTAAGTTTTCGGGTCCATAAAGATAATTGAATAAAAGGAATTAGAAATTCTAAACTAAATCAAATGCAATCAAATATGGCCACCAATACGGAAATTTTTGTGTTAAAACTTCACTTGGCTAAGAGCTTAACTTATCAATAGATTAACTCAAGAGTTTTTGTGTTCCAAGTCTATAGATTTGAACATGTAGGTTAAAAAACCCACACATCATAAGTATACTCTAAAAAATTCTCTTTCCCACATAAATTGTTAGCCAAGGGGATCCAAATGTTCTTGGAGAAAAAAAAAGAAGCTTCAAGGTCTCTATGCTCTTACTGATTGAGAGATTTTTAATAACATGCTGATTTTATAAACACAAACCCATTTATCAGTTTGAGATTTCAGTTTGGCACTAGGTAAATGACTAAGTGATGAAGTACTAAAGATTAAGGAACAATAAGTAGATTCTATATCTCTTAAGTCAGGTTTATTCATTTATCAGCCATTTGAGACTTATCATTCCCCTTGGGAAAAGTAAAGAATAGGCATAGCCTTTAACCAGCCTAAGATAAGCCTCCTTTTTCTTAACTGAGCTTGAGCTCTGTATACTTCCCAATAAAGCTGGGAGCAAGGTAATTAGGGAATTAAAGGGTATGCCAACATCCATTCAATAAGCATTTATTAAGTGCCTATGCACTATGCATTGGGGATAAAATAAAAGATAACAATGAAACAGTCTCTGCCCTTGAAGAGCTTAACATCCTGTTAGAGGAAGGGGGAGACATACACAGAAAAGTAAATCCAGAATGCGAATGAAATTTATCACTATCAAATGACAAAAGGACAAAGAACTTTACAAAATTAATCCTGAAAAATGGCCTTTTTGAGCCACTCAGTTTTTGTGCAGGAGAAATAAGGTAGCAGGAAAGGTAGAAGAAGTAACAAAGGAGAAAAGGAGGGTGTGGCCAGCCTGAACTTTGTTACAGTAGCAGCCCCAGGAAGGCTAGATGTTACTAGAGACAACTGGTGGCTGAATTAGGGAGGAATCAATAAGGGATACCATGGCACAATCAGTTCTGTAAGACAGCTTAGCCACAGGTTTAAGAATATTTAGTCATTGCCCAGAAGAAAAACAAAACAAACAAAAACCCACCTGAAATTTCAGTGAAGATGAGAAATAAGGGAACACAGAAAAGTGAGTAGGGCAAAATTTGGCAGGAGATCACTGAACAGCTGTTAATATCAGGATCCCAATAGTTTCCTTAGGTTTTATTCTTATGGGCTGGTTTCTTTGTGTACAGCAATTTGAAGAGATCGGGGGATAGATCAGATGTCAAGAATATCTTTCTACCCAAATCTGAACATATATAGCAGCTCCCTCGGGCAAAACCAGAAGAGTCTATATTATATGAATTGATCCTCACAACAACCCTGTGAATGGGATGTCCTGGTGAAGACTCCTCATTGTAATTAAGGTTTGGGATAAGGCTGAGTGGGATGAGGGGTCCTGTGAAAACTTCTTAGAAGAATAAATAGAAATTGTATTAGACTCAAGGCAGGCATAGCAGCCTGACAGGCCTAAGTTTCGGTTTACTAGAAATCACCTGATTTACGGGAATCCAGCCCCAGGTCGTCCCGTCCCCCCCCCCCCCGCCCCAGCCATTGTTAAACCCTTGAAACCCCCTCTGTATTTTGTTGATACACCTGTTGCTATATTTCGGTCACGGTGACCTGGCTATACAGTACAGTGTCTAGCTTGACTGCACATCTTTAATTGCTTCTTTGGTATTACTTCAGCAAACTAAGGGGCTAAATACAGATCTCTTTGTTTTGTTTTTTGTTTCCATAGATTGTGAGCCAAAACATTGGCCAGTTGGTGAGAGGGGGGATTTGCCCGTTAGGGCTATTTAATCTGGTTCTTAGCTCCTGTGCTCTGTCTCCCCTCATCAGAGTATTCTGGTGGAGGGACACCCTTTTCTCGAGAATAGCAAATAAAAATTAACTTTCTGTTTCTCCTTGGATACCTCTGTGTTTTTTAATTTGAGTGGCATCCCACACTACCTGTGAGGTAGATACCACTGGGTGTTATCCTCATTTTAGAGATGAGGAAAAAGTCCAGAAAACTGCTTATCTACCACTTAACAATGATGTTTTTCCTTCTCTAGCCCTTCAATCACCACCACCACCACTAGAATTTCAGGGTATACAAATGTTTGGAATACATAAGCAAGTTTTCCTAGAATTGCCAGTAGATTCACTAACATCCCGATCCAATATTAAGCATCTCAGGCCACTTTCCTTTTAGAAGGTGAACTGAACAAACAAAAGACATTCTTTCGTGTAACCCTTTCATAATTGAAACAGATCTCTCCATGATGTTTTTAAGATTACCTTCTCTATCCTTCCCAAAGGCATTTTGTAAGGTGACCAACATACGCTATAACTTGTAAAAATGGACCAGTCTTTACAACTGACCACTTCATAATTTTAAAAGATTTTGTTAATTTTTATTTTAAAGACACCAATACCTTGAACTGGCATCTTCATACTGGATCAGAGCCATTCCTTCAACAAATATTTATTGAACACCTACTATGTGCAAAGTACTGGAAGTACTAGGGAAATACACAATCAAATGTCAATATTTAACATTCTCCAATGTAGTATCATCCAAGACTTATTTCCTGGATTCCAAAGGCAGTTCGCTATTGAAACTGTTACAAAGGGCTTTGGGGACTTAAATGATAATACTATTCTTTGAGCTGGTTGCCAAGTCTACTCTTAACAGTGAACACAAAACAAACCCTGGGAGGGTAAAAAGAGGGGTGGGGTAGATTTGGGCACAACTCCAAACTACCCCTAAAAGGAGCTGAAGTTCAGGAAGTTACTGGCATCAACTCAATCCCTACCGTGTTTCCTGTTAACTCTTTTCTCTCGGAAGGCATTAGCTAAGGACAAATGCCTGACAGCAACTACATTCTTGGTAACCAAAGGAAGACCCTCAGTAGTTAAAGTTGCTTCCTTATGAAGCATAAATGGGAATATTTAATATATAAAATATAAATGGGAATTTCATGGTCATTGAAGGAAATATTTCTTCATCTACTCTAATAAAACAATTTCATACTATAAAATAATAATAGTTCACATTTCTATGACACTTTAAATCTTACAAAGTGCTTCACATACATTATTAGGAAGTAGGAAGGACAAATACTATTAGTCTTATATTACAGATGAGGAAATTCAGCTCAGAGACTTGGTCATGGTCATACAGCTAAAAATGGCCAAGCTGGGACTCGCACACTGGTCCTTTGACTTCAGATCTTATGCTCTTTCCAAGAAGGAAATTGGGTCCTGAAAACCTTCCTGACTTACACATCTAACATGGAATGGACTGTCTTTTAAAAAATAAACTTTTATCATCTTATTTTTATATCATACACAGTTCCCATTGTTCTTCCCCCCAACTCTCTCCCAGACAATCATCACTTAAACAAAGAAAAAATTCAGCAAAACTAACCAATATACCATAAATCTTACATCATACACAAGTTGAATGGACCTTAAAAACTTTTTTATTAATGTCTTAAAAAAACCCAACAATCTATATTTCTCGTTATATTCCATATCTTATAATAACATTTGAAGAAAAGGAGAAAAAAAGATTCTACAAAACTGATATATTTTTAAAAATCTGATATTATTTACAGCACCTCACACCTATGGTCCCCTACTTCAGCAAAGGAACAGAAGGAATTATCTTTTTTTGGGGGGGGGACCAGTCTTGGTCATTTTCATTTCCCAGCATTCAGGTTTTGCTGTTTTCTTCCATTTACACTGCTGGAATAATTGTGAACATTGTTCTCCTGGTTCTGCTTCCTTTGCTCCTCATCAGCTCATATAGGCCTTTCCATGCTTCTCTGTATTAATCACATTTATCATTTCTTACGGTACATTTCACTGTATACATTGTAGGCATCTATTTTGTTTCCAATTCTTTGGTAGCACAAAAATGGTTGCTACATAAATATTTTGGGAGGTATATATAAAACCTTTCTTTTTGTCACTAATGTCTTTGTGTATATTCCTACCCACCAGCAAAATCCCTGGGTCAAAGGGTATAGACTTTCCAGTCATTTTTTTTTACTGCATGTCCCCCTCCCCCCTTTTAAACTTCATGCCCTTTTAAGCCCTTTGAGAAGTGAATGCACTGTGTTACTTTTAAGGGGAGAGGTAACAGCATTAAGTAGGAGGAAGAACCCTGTGTAAAAGTACAAAGAGATTAAACAAAAGTGGAGAAGGGAGGTAGAGAACAAAAATAAAAACTTTTATCTCTACAATTATCCTGAATTAACAAGTAAATAAAAAATGATAAGTAATACTCAAGTCCCTTGAAAGAAGGCTTCTCAACCCTAACTTCTCTAGTATGGAAATTTTACCACTCACCTGACAATCACGCTATATGGCCTAATAGTTCCCCATTCTACAGATAAGAAAACTGAAGGTGAGATTAAGTGACTTGTCCATCACAGCAAAAATTTGAACCCAGTTCTTCCTGACTCCAAGTCCAGCATTCCACTCATTACATCATGCTGCCACTCCACTATCTCGCCTCATTCCCAGGGCCACTAGTAATGTGAAAATGGGCCAGTGTGTTAACATGAACAAAAGGTGAGAAGGGGGACAATATATGGAGTGAGGGTGTTTCTTCAACTATCCAAACACTTTTGTCAATGGAAAGCTTGTTTCTAGTGGAAAGGATAAGAATCTCAACACCAGCACTCCCCATTGCTTCAGCTT